TAAGTAGCTGGCACTTACTTATTTCCAAGACAGGGGTCATTGGTCCTCTGGTCACAGAGCGGCCCCGTCCATCCTTCCTCACACTCGCAGGTGAAGCCCGACTGGCCGCTGGCCTGGCACGTGCCATGGGCGCACACCTTCTTGTGGCAGGGCTCACAGCCGGGCAGGATGCCCGTCTGCATGGGCACCTTGCGGAAGTCCTGCAGCTCGCTGTTGATGTACAGGTTGCGGATGCAGCCGTGGAAGCTGGTGCCATTGTGCCCCGGGGCCTGGCGCAGGGCCGCGGCCACGTTGTTTTTCCCGGGCATGCCTGGGGAGGGACAGCGAGTCAGAGGTCACGCTCTCTGGGGACTCCTCAGCCATTTGCCACCCAGGCGCTCTTAGCTCTCCCAGCAGGGCGGCAGTCTGTGTGACACTTCTACAGGAGAAACTGATGTCACGGGCATCTAGTCCTGTGGGTCTCAGCCCGGATAGAATCCCATGGCTTCTGCAGAAATACTGATGCTTAGGACCTCAGCCCAGACCTTGATCCGAGTCTCCGGGCAGGATGGGAGTGGGGGGAGAGATGCGTGCTTCTTTGCTTTTGTTTTCTAGAAGATGCTATGCAATTTTAATGCACAACTAGATAAAGGACCTAGTTCAGTGATGATCAGACTTGAATTTTTAAAATATGTTTCTATTGATTTCAGAGAGAAGGGAGAGGGAGAGAGAGAGAGAGAGAGAGAGAGAGAGAGAAACATCAATGATGAGAGAAAGTCACTGATCGGCTGCCTCCTGCATGCTCCCTACTGGGGATTGAGCCTGCAGCCTGGGCATGTGCCCTGACAGGGAACTGACCCATGACCTCCAGGTTGATGGGATGACACTCAACCACTGAGCACACCAGCTGGGCTTAGTCTTTAATTTTTAATATTTGTTTTAAACCAAACCTGACACAGAGGCATAAATATATAAAACCTAAAAGCAGAGCTACTATACCTAAAGGGAGGATTGGGAAGGGGACACGGTGGTGTTCTCTCCCCTCTCCACACTCATCCCCTCAACCTGGACACACTCCCTGGAAGCCTAGAGCTCCACAAAGCAAGGTTAGTAATCTCTGACAAATCCTGCCTCTTAAAGACGGAGGTCCCAGGGCCCAAAGAGCTTATCGGGCGGCCTACTCAGTGTCACCCAACAGGACTGAGTTAGAGTTAGGCAGATGAGACGAATCTCTGCAATCTCCAGTCACAATTCAGTCCATCCAGATCCAGAAGGTGAGAGCTGGGGTTCACAGTGACCATGACCCTGGTCCTGCCAAATTCTAAGCCAGCAACTAACCCAGATCACCAGTGACAGCGTCCAGAGCACAGTCGTGGATGTCAGTGCCTGAGACACTCACCATGCTTCCCATCAGGACAGCACCTCATTCACATCAGTGTTTTGCTTACTAATTGAGAGTGAAACCATCATTTTCCAAGAAATCGGAAATACAAAAGAAGTTACAAAAACAGAATTAGCAATTTGTATATATTCATTCCACTAGTGACCGTCATCTAGTGACCCACATTTGGCAAAACTGAGGAATCTTTCCATGGCCTAAGCCAGACCCTGAAATAGCTCCTGGATGGGATCCCACAGAAGGCAACTGTCCAGGTTGCAGAGGGAGAAGGGGAGAATGAGAGGCTTGCAGAGCAACTGACTTCCCCCCTGGTGTCCCCGTCCTCCTGGTGCCTGGACTCTGAGCTTCCGGCTGGAGGGTGTCGGCTGGAAAAGACCTGGCTCACTTTCTAGGGGGATGAATGGTTACAAGACCAAGAACCTGAGTACTCTCTGGGCCCTGTCTCGTGGCATCATCATCTTTCCCATTCAAAGGAGCCCTGCTTGCAGACACCAGAGACAGACAGGCAGGTGCACAGCACCACAAGGCTAGAGGTCAAGTCTTTATTGTTGGCTCTGTGTGCACTTGGGCCCATCATTTCCCATCCTCTGGGGCTTGGCTTTCTCGCCTGTAACATGAATGGATGGACTAAAACAGTTGTTTCCAAGCTGGTCATATGTAAGAACCACCAGAAGCCCAAGCTTGGAAGGCAGCTCCCCCAACCCCCTTCTGTCCCATCCCTGAGATTCTGACTCAGCAGGAGGGAGTGGCGTGCAGGAATCTAAATGTCAACCTGCAACTCAGGTGACTCTGGAGCAGGTGGTCTCCGTCACACTTTGACAGGTACTGATTTATGTGTCTTGGCTTTGAAGTCCCATGAGTTCAGGCTTTTAGTCTCAGTCCACCTGGCCTCGGACACTGGGCTGCTTTATAGAGCCAGGTCAGAAGGGTGAAATGTGCCATTTCCAGGAGAGGCCTGGAGACAGGAATTCCTTGCTCTGGGATGAGTTCTTCTAATTTAATCTTACCCGTCTATCACAAATGTGTGGGCTTTAATGTCCACATTTATGGCCCTTTCTTCAGAGGTTAAAAAAGTATTTCCAAACTATTTTTTAATAGCTCATTTTGACTGGTTATAACACTCACATGTGCACATGCCAAGGTTAAATACAGACTGGTGATGTTCCTCAGCAGGGACAAATGATTAGGAAATGTGTGCATTTTATTTCCAAAGCTAACAACTGTAACAGGCCCAGCTCTGATCACAGTAATTTGTAAATGAAAACACTGATCCATTACACATATGTTTGCCTTTAACAGGACATCACACCATCAAGAAGTATTCTGAGTCAACCTTTCACACACCCAACACAGTTCTGACTAGGAAACTAGGTCTTCATTGACAAACAAAAGTAGACCTGTGTTTTTTATTTTTAGCTTTTTTTTTATGCCACGGGCTGTAGTTGAAGTTCAGTCAATCTATCAGTCAACAGGTAATTTAGTGGACCATTTTTAGTTTTAACAAGCTCTACAGGTTTCAAAATGACAATAAAGGGATCAAGTGTCAGAGCTGAAATCCTTTGTCCAATGGTGGCTTTAGGAGATTGTGATGCAGGAAGGGGTATTTATGTGCAGGTCTCAACTATTGTTTTTTAATCCCATTAGGTAATAATACAATGTTCTGATTGGATTATTATAGAGAAAAGCATAAAGATTAGATTTGTATTGAGCAAGGCCTACAGCAGGGGTAATGGATGACCCAAGGGAAAGGTAAAGCTGCCTCCTCTTTGGCTAGTGAATTCTTCTGCAAGGGGCCTAGGGTAGTGACATCACTGAGGAGTGTCCCTATTGTCCAGCTTGGAGAAAGGGGGACAGCTGGTTTACCTCGCTCTCCTTGGCTAACAGGTTTTCCTGCCTTTGCCATATGGAGTTTGGGCTGCAGTTTTACACTTCCCTTGTGTTTCTTTGATCTGAATTACCCTTGCTCCCTGAGTTGGAAGGAAATGAGTCCACTCTGTTTTCTGGGAGTGAGGTGAGGATGAAAGTGGTTTCCCTCAGGCCTGAATGGATAGCCAAGCCCTCTACCCCCAGAAGGATGACCACTTTTAGTTAGGAATTTAAATTTTTTTTTTCTGTTTTGAGAAATGTTCTGACCCAAGCACTCCCATTCTGTAACCACCCCCCTATATACTCCACAGGAGCTTGAAAGCATTTAATGAAATGGTTTCTAATGAAATCAAGTGAAGAACAAACCCAGAAATAAACAAAAAGCCACACACTCAGACTGTTTCCCTTTCTGCTCTATGTTAATAACCGAGTGGCAATACAGGTGGCTTGGGGCCAGGCAGACCTGCACTCAAGTGAGGTGTCTATCACGTCATAGCTCTGTGAACTTGGACGAGTTTTATTAAGTCCCTGAGACTGTCTCTTCAGGACTGTAAAGCAAACAAACAAAATCATACCTACTTCCTAAAGTCTCTGAGGAGTAAGACTGAAAAGGAGCATTGTGTTGGGCACATAGCATGGGCTTAGTAAATATAATTTCTCTCACGTCTCAGGTACATCTGGGATTGCTTCGGCCATCCCAAGGCAACAGCTGTTAACTGCAGTACAGGCCAATGGAAGGCTCTGTCTTTTAATGAGTCTCATAGCTGCGACTCCCATGAAGCCACTAGATTGTCAACTTGCTGCACAGGCCTAACAGGCAATACATCTGATTACTCGAAGACATGCCTGCCTTCTCCATTCCCCTGGGCACAGAAGAGACTTTTTTTTTTTTTCAACTCTTTATCCTTCAAGCATCTATGAATTTAGTTCTCAGCATATGGGAGATGCTCAATAACTATTTACAGAATGGAACCAAAGATTTTTAACTATTTCTAAAACATGAAAACTTTATCAAAGTGCTAAGATTTTCCATTGCAGAAGTTATTAAAAATAAAAGTGCTCTGGACATTCAGGACAATTCCAAACAAAACTATCAGGGTAGGTTCTGAGGTGTTGAGAAAATTGTGTAGCAGCCAAAGATTATTATTTTGAAGGGAAAGATGCGAACTTCATGAAAATACCTGCCATGGTGAAGAAATCAGTTACACTGACCTGTTGAAAAGCTTTAACTTATTTATCTGTAAAATAACTTAATTTTATCAGTCAATTCACCTTGCTCAATTCAATGTGATTTAAATCAGTTCAACATCGCATGCTTTCTTACTCCTTTGTCTGAAATTTGAAATTCTATGTCTCCAGTATACATTGGCTCCTCCAGATAGAGGCAAGAGTGGAAGCTCTCTCCTTTGTGGGTCCTCTCCTCTGGGCTCCTTCAGAATTTTGCTCCTACTTCTTTCCTCACCTATTTTCTCATCTGACTTCTGTTGCTTAAAAATAAGGTCCAGGGTCTTTATCACTCTAAGCTCTAATCCACCTTCCCAAGCCACGTTAAGGTCACGCTAAACAAAAATACTTTCTATTACCCCAATACAATTTGTACATTTAATTAATTAATTAATTCATTCATTCATTCTTTCATTCAATTTCATTAGTAATTATCCTGTCATCCAGCTCTGAGTTAGCAGCTGGTGGCCCAGCCATGCCAGCATGGTAACATTTCACTGAAGCTGGTAGTGTTCACCTCCTCAAGGGAGCTGGGGTGAGGTCATGCACCCCACAGTTTGCATCAAACCTATTTCATCATTGTTTTCACTGTCTAATTTGACCTCTCATGCTTTCTTTTTCCATAGACCAGATCAAATAACAAGATGAAATTCTGTGAAGTGTCAGCCCCGTAGCATGTGATAGACACAAAGAAATATTAATGTTCTTCTCCACCCCAAGGACACAGTCAGTGAAAACCAGAGCTGAGACTACAGATGGTCCCTTACCAGCTACCCAGGGCTCTTCCTTTTCTCTCCCTAATGCCCATCTTTCAGGGACCGATCACTCTTGGTCAGTGACTATGGCACCAGTGCCAACAACTTCAGAATCAGTCTTTGACGAAGATCACAGGGTTTGGGGACCCATGGGATTTGGAAGAGTGCTTACCTCCCACGTAGAGCGGGGAGTCGAAATTCAGAGTGGACTGCTTTGACAAGTTGGTGATGATTTTGGGGCTCCCTCCATCCACAGAGAGGGAGAGACTCTGGTCCAGGGCGAGTAGCTCCACAATGTGAAAGTTTCCATCATTGATCGTCTCCACGCTACAAACAAACAAATAAACAAAAACAAAACTCAGGTGATGCTTCCATGTTCTTCCTATTAAAGGAGACTTTCTAATACAAACTCCAATAAGCACTTCTTGGGAAAACATACTGCTACTTATCATCAATAAAGATAAAAGCCATTTATTGATTTAAAAACAAAAGATACTTTCAAGGTGATGCAATCATTCCTGGGAACAGATATAAGCTTGTTCTTCCATCGGGGGAAGTGGAAATGGGTACATTTTGTCATTGTCTGATCACCTTCCCCTAATATATAGAAATTACAAAAGATATTTGATATATTTGCTTTTAAATGCCAGGAAAGTTCCATTTGCAAGAAAAGGAACCTACACCTGTGTCAAATACGGACACCCGAATACAGGAGAACCAGCGTGGCAGGATCGCTGCTCCTTTTAAAACCTGTTCGCTGATAACAGACTCTTACTTTCTTTGCAGTTTTCAGAGGACCACCCATCCAATGCTGCTGCTGGGAAGAAGCCTATGTTCAGGGCACAGGAGGGGTAACGGGCTAAGCAGAAAGCGTAACGCGGTCATATGCAGCCGTCTAGAGTCGACAGAGCTGCTTCAGTTCCTCTTCTCTGACTTCGTAGGGCCCGTCCAACAATTATTCTAAAAATGCTGAGGGGGCTTATGGAAATTCATAAGATGGATGAAAACAAGGAGATTAAGAAAGCGAGGTCAGTGAAGGGGAGGGCTGAGAGCAAGATGAAGCTGGGTGCAGTCAGAAGGCGGGGGCTGCCCGGCCGCGCGGCGTGGCCACGCTGTCCCCCGAGTGCTGCAGGCAGCAAGGACGAGAGGGAGGCCAGGGCGGGACACGGGCCCAGACGCAGCCGTCGGGGAGATGCTCGCCTTCCCCGCAGGCACACGATAGGCAGGATGCAAACTGGGGCCAAGAGTAAACAGTGAATATTACAGAGCTGATATCATAGTATTTTGACTGGAAAGATTGTTTTGTTTTTTTTAAAGGCTCAAAAATGGAAATATCAGAGCATATGTTAGAGAGATTGTGAATACTTAATATTCTCTGCACAAGGTGTTCCCTTCAGTTTCCAGGAGCTGATATTTAAATTTGCAACTAGGTCAAGCCTGGGAAATAACAGAAGAATGTATTGACATTTCTGCACGGTGCTCAGCACAGAAGTCTAATCTTACTCCTTTCTCCCCTGACTATATAAAGTAGAAAGATTTTATGATTTGACAGCAATATAAAGCATTCTGCAGAACTGTGAAAACATTTGAAGTTCTCTGTTTTAAGTGGTTAAAGGAGTCCATGTGTGCAAGGATCTCTGATAACCTGTCTCAAATATCATCTTTAAAAGATGTGAGATATGTCAATCAATATTTTTGCCTTCTACACATTTAATTATCCCATGAAAATCAACAGAAAAAAACACTATACAAGGAAATCATTTTCTAAATAAAGTTGCATTGCAGCTGTTAGTGGTCTTAAATATGACTGTTTTCTAAGGTTCTAGAGTACATGCTTTTTCATTACACATCACTTTAGAAAAAAACCCACCACAAAAACCTAAAGAGTACCTAGTACTATACAATCAACATGCGTTCTCGCCACTAACAAGCCTTTGATAGATAATTTCTCTCCCAAATGGCCTAGGAATCAATTTCTATGGAAAATAACCTTATATGATGGCTGCACAACTTGTACATTTACTAAAAATCAAGGAATTGTAAAAAAGAAGTAATAATCTTATAATGAGAGTTTGACAGTTATGAGAATGCACCTGAAGTATATAGATATAAAACCTAGATTTGGATTCTATTTTCCAAATTATAAGTAAAATTCAGACTGACTAGGTTTTTCTCCTCCCGCAAGTTTTAAGTGTCAAACCTGATCATTCCAGAACGTGGCAAGCCTAAGTTCACTGAGCTTAATTCCATTTCTATTTCCCTAGAATCAAGGCCCCACTCTGGCCTTTTAATAGGTCAGTGTTGTGAAATTAATATTTTTAGATTCTTTGTTTTTTAAGGTTGTATGTGTGGATGGGGCCTGGAGAAGATATGTGAGAGGGAACCGTATTCTAAATTGGTGTTTCATGCTGTCTTGTAAAGCACGCGATAAATTGGGGAGCAACGGGGAATGCCCTTTCAAAATAGAAGCAGTGCCTGACACAGCAGTTGTTACACAATAAACCTGAGCCATCACCGATTTTACCGTCTATCGCGGTCATCACCCCCCTACCCACTCACAATGCACAATGTCCTTTGGGGTTCTGAGAAGTATTGATAAACTCTCTTGCACTCCCCCCTAGGGAACTATATTTCTGATGACTCACAGAAGTCACAAGCGAACCTCTTAACATTGAGCCTTTGCACTGGGAACATAAACTGCATTTATTACCATTATTACGTAATTCAGTTTTGCTATACTCATCTGTTACCTGAGATTTTATTTTGTTGAATTTCTAAGTGGATGTATGGAAACAAAGCAGTTACTCAACTACGTCTTGTGGTCTGCTACAGAGAAAGAGTTTAAAAACGGGGCTTAAAAGAAGAGTGGCTCTAACTTGTCTGGGATTTTCCTAATTTATGCAGGACACATTCACAATGACTTTTATATTTCTATTTCAACCATAAATCCTAAGTTACTTTGGTAACTGAACAAAGCTAAATAGTTCATTTGGCTTATGCAAGGTCCAGCTTTTCGCCTTAAAAATGTAAAGTATCTGTTGGCATATTCTGTGCAATTAAATAGGAATCACAAATCAGACAAATTCAAATGGTCACTTAATTTTGTTATCTCTGGGCGGAAGATACTTCAACGTGAAGTGGGAGCGGAGGGTAATAAAAGTTTCCCTGGCTCCCCCTTTAAATCCAGCGGAGTGGGAGGCTAAATGGGACCAAAGGAATCTATGTACACGCATAAGAGTTCTCACAAAGACATCTCGTAAAATAATGAGTTTATCAAGTGAAGTTGCATTTTAATCAGTGCTTCGGAAGCAAATTGTCTAATTTAAATGCACTGAAATAGAAAGTGACTTCTACATCCAGTTAGAGTTACATGCAAGACAGTAATTTTAGCACTTGGTATTTATTCTTCAGTATCTGGATAGCTGAGCATGAAGAGCGCCCATAAACTGCCACCATTACCAATTACTGTGAGCCTACTGTGTGCCTAGCACTATACTAGGAGCTTTACACTCGGTACTCTCAATTCTCCCAAACACACGTGAACAAGAGCTCTAATTCCCATTGCTCAGATGAGAAAATGTAAGCACAAGAGGTAAAGTAACTCGCTCAAAGTTATAAAGCCAGTAAACAGTGGTGTCTTCGTATACGGCATATCAAGAAGGGCGAGTCTTGGAAATGAGAAGACCACAGTGATTCTGTTTCTCCAATGAGACCCAGTTCTTTTATAATTATTATTTTTAACTTAATCCTGTAAGTTGCATAACTCGGAGGCTGTGTAGTGAACCAAGCCTAAGAGTCAGACGGGGAAATTCCCCGGGAGGTGCACGTGATTCCTAAATACCGAAGCTGGTTGACGCATGGTACAATCCTGTGTTTTTGGAAGATATATTTATCTCATTTCCTAGTTTTTAACTAGTTGACCATGTTTCCAAAGAAGCTGTCTGGTTTGGAAAATGACATTAATTTGGATCTAAGGAAAGAAGCATACCATTTTTATTAAATTTTAAAATGTTTCTGACTATCTAGATGACAACAAAGTCATTCTGAAAGGCAATCAATTATCAGCCTGCTTGAGAAAAAAATGAGTTACTCTATTTCTGTCTGAGGGACTACTGCTGATGGTAGCTTTAAGTTTAGGTGACATTCATCCATCCATCCATCCATCCATCCATCCATCCATCCATCCATCCACTCACTCACTCATTCACGGCACTACTGCCAAGTCCCTTTTAATGCTATTTTCTAAGCAGCATAAGAATTTAGGCTATGTGTGACATTCTACATTCATTCACTTGTTAGGCAGTTTATGTCATCTCTGTTGCTGGTGAATGTTTAATGACTGGCTGGCTCTCTGAACCAAGAAAAGAGCCTGAGTTTTTACTGATTTCAGTGGTGGAAATACTCCCAGCATGGCTGGTTCAAGGCCAACATCAAGCATGATGTCATGGAAGTTGGCTATCAGAAGAGATGCACACCCTGAGCTCTCAGAGTGCAGTTCAAATATATTCCTTTTGTAAAAGTGGTTCTGAAATTGTGGTCCCTGGACCAGAGCATCACCTGGGAACATACAGAAACAAACATTGGAAGGCATATCTGAGATGTGAATCAGAAACTACAGGTAGAGCCCAGGAATTTGTATTTTAATACAACGTTCAGGTGATTCTGATGTACACTATTTGGAAACAATTCCTCCACACCACTGCCTGCATGTCTAACTCTGTGAGCAGTGGGCATGTCCACATGAAACCACGATCTTCTGAAGTCAGGTGTAAGAAATACAATGAGAAAACATGCATGCCACTTTAGTCCTCCTGGGAAAGGAATCATCACTTCGTCTTGGGTTTTCTTAAACACACTTACAGCTATGTAAACTACTCTCTCTGGACATAATTCTATGAGATAATGGTTCTCACACAGATTCATTTGAGACAGTACCTGACATCTAAAATGACACTTTTTAAAGCAAAAGTTATCCTACAAAAATAACTTAATGTGTGATTATGTTCCTTTAATTTTGCCAGATTTCATTTTACTAAAGTAAAATCCATTTCCATCAATGTTGAAAAGAAATCATGCGATGGCAAAGATGCACCTGTTGTACAGAATTATCCCTGTGTGTGATGTTCCAACAGCACATTAAATAATGCATAATGTGGAAAAAAAGTTTACCAAAGTCATCTTTTATAATATAAAATTCCATAAACTGAATTTAAACTGAACAAATTCTCTATGGTAAGAATTAATAAAAATACCTCTTTTTAAAATAGTGTAGTGTACTTTTCCAATGGCAACCAAACAGGAAACACATTATGACTTGAAAATTTAATTCAACTCTACAAAATATGTATTAAGCAACAGAGTTAGTGACGGATTTTGCTAGAATGATGGGGAAGGAATACCTTTCACCACAGTGCACCTTCTAGTAGCCTGAGCAAGGTCAGAAGCATTTGGATAAATGCCAGAAAATGAATCGGAGCAGAGTTAAGACTTGGGACAGATTTCAAGTTGAAGGTGAAGGGAAGAAAACTATTAAGAGTAACTCCCTACATCTGTGATGCCAAAAATCTGTGACGGCTCTTGGTGAAATTAGGAATGTGACAGGGACACAGGGTTGGGTGCAACAAAGGAAATCACCTCGGTTTTGGACATTCTGAAATTATCATCCCAACAGCGATCATTTTGACTATTTGGCATGTATTATTCTAAATATTTTACATGTGTCAAATCATACAATTCTTACCACAGTCTCACGAAGACAGAACTATGATCTATTATAACCACCTACCAGGTGAGGCCCAGAGAGCTTATGCCACTTGCTCAAGACACGCAGTTAATGGCCAGCAGAGCCGGGCCTCTAGTCAAGGCAGACTGTCCTTAGGACACCAGTGCTTTTTCATTACTTCAGTTTTCATCTTGAGCAATAATGACCCTCAAATAGTTCAAAAGTGAAAATGCCCTAAAATGGTATTCACATACATGCCTTGCTTCCACCCCACTCTCCTCTCTGTCCCTCCTTTGTCTTTATACAAATACCTGGACATAAAAACACAAAAATTTACCTACTTTGACACTGTTTCTGCCTTACTGCTTTTTCCTTTTAAACTGAGCAATATACCTTCAATATAATACACAGAAACCTCCTCATTCCCTCCCTCCCTCCCCTCCCCTTTTCTTTTTACAACATTGCGTTCCATTTTGTGGATGTATTGCACACAGTTTACTGAGATAGAAATTCAGGTTGCTGCCTAACCTTTGTTTTTACAACCAGTGCCACAGCGAATTACCCGGAGCACATGTTATTTCTGCGTCTTCAGCTCTATCTGTAGGATCAGGTTCCAGAAGTGGGATTTTATAGGATAGACAGAAAATGTACTTGTAATTTTGATAGATATTTTCAAAATTCTCTCCATAGAAACTGTAAACAGTCTGTATACTTTCCGTGTTAACGTATAAAGATTGAGGGTACACTTTCGACGCCTCTGCTATACTCCAGGAAGAAATATCAGAAAAACTTCCCTGTCCTGTTACTGTTACAAGGGAGACGAGAATAAAGAGAACGAGAGAGAGGAGTGGGGACAGAGCTGAGTTTACAGTTCCACATTCAGGGACCTTGTGGGGTAGGTGCCGCGTTATCATTTACAGAAGTGGATTGTGAGGCACGGAAAATTAAGCGCCTTGCCTGAGTTTACACGCTAGAGACTGGCCAAGCCTAGATCTGAACATGCATCTTAGGCACTAGGACCCTTACTTGTCAAATACTATACTCTCCTAAGGTGTTGAAGTAATTTAATCATTCCCTAGGGTCTCTATTATACAAAAGCACTTTTCTATTCCTAATTGGCATGTTGATATGTTCATATTACATATACATATAATACATATTAATCGATCAATTAATCAATCAAACTATCATTTCTCTATTTGAATTTTAGGTAATTGTTGTTTCTCTTCCTTAAAAACATGTAGTAACTTTTCTTGATTGTGTGCCATAAACTAAAGAGCAAGAATTAACTAAAGGCTATGCCTTCCCTAGACCTCTGCTTCATATTGAAGTATGCCAGGTGCTGTTATTTTTTTCATGAATACCACAGGGCACACTCTATTGTTTGTTAGTAGAAAATGGCAATGAAGATAAACTCAAGATAAGCTCTTTACAGCCAGTCCTCATGTGGATATAATTTATCCCGGGTCCTACAACGTATCTAGAAATACTTTAAGGGTACAGTTTTGTGAATACCATCTTCGATAAGTCAACCTCAAGGCCTTTATTATGGTTCCTGAAAGTTCTCTGCTGTTTCACTGCATACAATAAAACTAAAATATCAAGACCAATAATGAACCACAAAAATCAATATTCTGAAATCTCTCTACGGGCATCAAATTGAGGCTGCATGATTTAAGGCCTATCAATATCTACGATGTTGGCACTAATTCATCACCATCTGGAGATGAAGGAACGATCGCATTTCACTTGGAAACCAATAATTATGTGTTTGTTTCCATGCTGTAAATATTCCCTGGTGGGTTAGCTCAGCACCAGAAGGATTCCATTCACGGCTACGACTGGCATCGACTTTTCCTGGAACTTTTATGGAGCATCAAGTAGGATGTGAAGGCTTTTGAAGCACATGGATATATATAAGAATAACATCAGCGATCTAGAGATCAGTACCTCTACTTAGTCCCAGTGAATGGCCTGGAGCAGTGAGAGCGGCAAGCTCTCCCCTGGGACCCACACTCAACCCCCCAGCATCCAGCCCCCCTAGCCCTGAACTGAGTCTGCGAGTATCTGCACTCTCTCTCCAAGTACTCTGCGCATCCATGAGCAGGTGTGTCCCAAGGTAATGGCTTTCCAGCTTTACTCCATTTCCGTTTCCGAAAGGGGTTGCAGGAAGGCCCTACTTTGGGGGAAGCCTGTGGTCCTGCTAGAAATCTCTCCTGCAGTTATCCAACTGGAGTCTGCCATCTGTTCCTGCCAGGGCCCTACCACGTGTCACAGAGTCTGCTGTAGCCAGTCCACCCCTCCCTCCCCATGACCAAACAACAGAGAAGCAGTTCCTCATTAAACAACTGTCTTCATCTTCACCAGTGACTGAGAGCTTCACCTGTAAATGGCAGAGGCCGGGTGAGAGCCGGTGTCGTAGCTGGCACGGACGCGCCCCCGGTAGAGCTCCACGGCGATGTGGTCCTTGTCCCCCTTGTACAGGAGGATCCCGCTGTCTTCGTCTGTGGCAATCTAGGAGGAAGTCCCCTGCCATTAGTACGATGGACAGTCACCCAAACATTTCATCAAAAAGAAACAAGACTGCAGGGAAGACTTTCTACGACGGCTTGTTTTTCCCTTATGGCCGTGAGAAAATACTACTGCACGCCGAAATTATTACTTGAAAGATAACCTAGTCTAAATCACTTCATTGCAAATAAATTCCTAAAGAAGTGCTTTTTATTACATCCATACACATATTTTTACTCTTTCTGTACATATTGGCAATGACAGAGCTTAAAGATGCATGTCCCATGAAATATGCAAAAACAAGGAATTTACATACATAATTTATACTTTGGTAAATTAAAGCTGAAAAATAGTTTCCCCAGCATTAGAGTGCAGAATATTTACAGTAAATCAAGCTTTTCCCCTTCAGTTTCAAACTGTATTTTCCCAGCAGAGCATGAGAAAATCTAACCAGGATAAAAGTGATGTTTCCGGTGTGTGGAAGAACAGTAACAACTACCCAAGGACACACCGCAGGCTGTGCCTGAACTTTCTCGGTGGAGCTTTCCGCCTCCCTGCTCGTTTCGCTTCTGTAACGGCTCTATTTATGGCATATGTAAAATGCAACCGCACTGAGCAAGGCTGATCCTCCTATTTCATATAAAAACGCAAATTCTTTACAGTGATGGCATGAAAAGAGGGAAATCTCTCTTTTTTCCTCCCTGCTTGTTGGATTTTTTCGGCTTTCAATGAATCCGTTCTCTAGAAGTTCAGACTTAAACCTGAAACTACTGTATACTCATAACAATCTGCTGTGGCAAATGCTGGCAGCGGGCAGGCAGGTGTTTTAGTAAAGAAGGCCTGTCTGCCGTCCAGGGTCCCATTCCTCCTGACTTGTAAAGAATGCCCTGCCCCTCGCGGGAGTGCCGGGACAAACCAAACTCGGGGCGGGGTCTACAGGAAACAGGCGAAAACCATTTGAATTCAAAACGTATTAAAATATTTTGCTTACCCGATGAAACAAACATGCAGGCCCAATCTGCCCCACGTCACCTGCACGTGTTCCCTCTAACCTTGTCTCACCTTGTCTACAGGGATCCGAATCGCTGACTCAGGGGTACACGGTGACTTGGAGGAAAGACTCACAATAAAAGTGAGTTTGTTCATTTCATGCCTATTGTCAAAGGTCCTGGTTGAAAAGTTAAAGGACGCTTTGCCGAATACTTGGCCGCCTGTGACGTCTCACCTGCCCTCCTCTCAGTGGCAGGTTCTCTATGGAAAGCGCCCCCACCCCCTGCCCCGTGCAGGGCTGGACTGCAGGGCCATAAAGATAAATGAATAAAAAGCCTTTACCCAAGCACAGAACAGAGACATACTTTGTTGCTGCGTGTGTGTGTGTGTGCATTTTTCAAACAAGTAATGAATGAAAATACGCGGTTCCCATTTTGTCTGGGAAAGTACAGATGTTGGGGAGAAGACTGGTGCTTTCCCACAAGGGGCCCTGTCTGTCATTGTGTCCTGCAGCCTGTAACTGTCCCTGTAACAGATCACATCACTCCCAAACCACCACGACGTTTATGCTTTAAAGCTGAATTTGGCTTCAGATGAGAGCGGTTCTTGCCAATGGGGGAAACCTTACCTGTAGTGAGATGTTCGTCTGCGGCCGAACCTTGGCCGAAGGGATTTGAAGATAGGACTCCTTGTTTACAAAATTCACACTAACCAACTTCTCACACTTCTCGCCCTGGAAGCCAGGCAGACACTGGCATATCGGCTCATGTATCCTGATGATGCACTGAGCTCCGTTCTGACAGTCAAAATTATCACAGGGGCTGGTGCGAGGCAGGACCATGGGCGGAGAAAACTCGCAGAACAAGCCACTAAAGAGAAGAGAGCGACAGGTCCATGAGGTGTTACTTAACTGCCGACGTGCACTGGATCCCGCGAGACCCGCCTCTGCCCGCAGGTGTGTCCCTCCCTCACCTGTAGCCGTCGGGGCAGGTGCACGTGTAGCCGTTGACCGCGTCCGTGCAGCGGGCTCCGTTCTTGCACTTGTGATCTTGGCAGTCGTCGAAGTCCACGTCGCAGTGCTCGCCTATGTATCCTGGCGTGCAGTCGCACCTGTGTGAACAAGCAGGGGCACGCCTTCAAACCCCGCTGAGCCAAAGTAAGCCGGACAGCTCATGTCGTCTAGGAAAAGCGGGCACTGTCTTTAAAAACTGTATTTAGACAGGCTCACAGAGCCCCCAAATTAAAGGACGCCTAGAAACAGCACTGGTCTGCAAAGCATCCCACGGTGGCTCACTGTGGCCTGTCGGGAATGGCGATCTCACCTCCCTGACGACTGAGTACCCACAACCCAAATAAAACAGGCCCAGTGCACTAGGGTGCTGTCTTCTCTCTACGTTGTTTCTTTCCCACTCTCCAC